ACTGTTGCTCGATATTTTGATTACCTTCCCTGAAACATATACATTATCTGGTAAGTCTATGTCATATCTGTTCTTAAGTGCATTTAGTAGCGCGTGGATGATGTGCCTAGTACTATAAAAACACCAGCTTTGGAAAGCTAAATTTTCACTAACAAGCTCTTCTCTCCTTGGTCCAAAAGCAACATAATATAGAACAAAGAGCAGGACCAAGAGTCAGAAATGCTGGCTCTGCCAAGCAGTGTGGTGTGTGGAACTCACCAGACTCTAGAACTGGGTTGCTGGCTCCAAGCACGGCTCTGCATTTCGTTAGCGCATGGCCTGGGGCAGGCTACTTGCTGTAAGATGGGCTATAGATAACGACTACCCCACAGGTCGAATGAGTCAACTTACATAAGGAACTTAGAAGAGTGTCTGGCTTGACAGTAAGTGCTCTATGAAGATCTGTGATATGGCTTTCATCCTGGCTTTTTCACAGAGCAAGAGGGGGAACCTCTCTGCATGTCAGTCTCATAAGAACAACGGACTAAATTCTCTGAAACCATGTAGCTTTATTGTTTGTTTCTAAATAAGTCACCTTGCAAACACCTAGAAGTCACTCAGAGTTAAGGGATCATATAATTTATCATCAAAACAGGACACTTTTCGGCTTGAATGGAGATGCTATTAATAATTAAGATCTCTGGGGACACCTGGGTGGCTCAGTTGGTTAAGCATCTGCCTTTGGCTCTGGTCATGATCCCGGGGTCCTGGGATCGAGCCCCCATCGGGCTTCTTGCGCAGCGGGGAGCATGCTTCTCCCTCTGCCCCTCCCCCACTGCTTGTGCTCTCTTTCTCTCTGTTTCTCCCTGTCAAATAAATAAATAAAATCTTAAAAAAAATTAATTAAGATCTCTGGGATACCAGGCATCAGCCAGGCCAGTGTGGTGGATCCATATACAGCAGGTAACGTCGTGAGCCATTCGTAGACTGGAGATGGGGATTCTGCCTTTCGAAATTTGAGGAGGTGGGTATATTGTTTCAAAGTATAATGGTGGCATTCAAACGGCACACAACTGAAACAACAATTTCCGAGGTGTGCCCTACTGCTCCGCCTCAAACTTTTTGCAACGTCGTCCTTCATTTTTTCCTGTGTCACAGGCAGAAGATCAGTATCACTAAAGAAACAGACTTGGATAGACGTAAGTTATGTGGATTTTTATTTCTGCTGAGTTTTCTGCTATAAAGCTACCTCCACTATCCCGAGAGAAGCAGTTTTCCCCATTACTGATGGAAAGTTAAGTCTCTTCATAAGGAGGATTTCCCTTCCAGAAATCCAAAACGAGAAAAAGTATCAGACAAGGCGATTTTGTGCCAGCAAACAGTCCTTTCCAAAGATTTGAACGGAATAATTTGTTTTTCATGGTTTATAAGTAGCAGATAAAACCTACATGGAAAAATGGACAAGAAGCAATGGAAAATAAGACACAGAATCTGGAATTGTAACTTTAAAAAGCAATTTGTTCTTTTTTTCAGCCATGCCCAGAAATCACTTGAGGTTAACAAGTGAGTATTTCTATTGGAAGAATCAGCTACAATTAGGTCACCAACTTAGAGAAGATGTAGGCGGAAGTTTAAGTACCAAGTCTATCATTATAAAGGTACTTTATCAGCAAAACCGTCAGTCATGGATTGTTGACTTAAAATGATTAAGAGGGTAAAATATCAAAGAGGAAGATGAAGAGTTTGTGGAAAGACCCTTGTTAAGATCAGGAGCAGCTGAGGGTCTCAATATGAGAAAGTTGTACATTCCTTGGGGAGCAGGTTTTGAGTTCCTTGACTTCGACGTCAATCTGATGTGAAACAAAATAGAAACTCGCCTCCTCTTGCAGTCCTTGCTCTGGCTACACAAGCCCAGTCCACACACTTAATCTGGTGGTGACAAATGACAAATGTGTTATTGTTTAGGATGATAGAGACATGGTAGTACTCTTTTGATTTCCCACTGAAAGTTGGATGTGAAAATCTCTAACAGTACTATTCAAACGTCTCATTAAACAATCAACAACAAACAAGTAAAAATCTGGAGTCCTTGGACCCAGCACCCATGGATAGATTCTGTGTGAATCATCTTAGCTCACCTGGGAATGGATTTTTTTTTTCCCTAGAAGTGTATTTGAGAGTCTGAAAAGATTTCATTGTTAATTTGGCATCCAACAGTACATTACTGATGGGTTTAATAATGACTAGATTTGACAAATCTTTGGATACATGTGAGCCATGGAATTCAGAACATTATTTCCTGCTATATTAATAACTGATTTTTTTTTGCAGTGGATTTTACTTGGTAACTCATTTGATCCATTTGGTTTGATCATTTAGGTATTTCAAGCTACCAAATAGAGCCTTAAGTTTCACAATGGCTGTGTCTATTTCCTTAGCAACAAAATGGTTCCGAGACCTGTTTTTTTGGTATGTGTAGGTCATTGCCATCAGCACAGTGGGAGCCCCCCTCTCAAACTTTTCTATTGCTTGAACAAAAACCTGAAAGGATGGGTCTTAGAATAGCTGCTGAACACATAGCTGTAATACGAGGCTGAAATGTTCATTGCCAGCAGTTAGCTGGGTGCATTCATTAGTATGTGCCCATGCTGAAGAGAGCCATGCAGACAGAAGGTGCTTCGTTTTATCCAGAAACCATTCAGTGCCTTGTTCCATTTCCTTTACCACATGCACATTTGTGTTTATCCTCTTGATAAACTTTTTCTTTTGATAATCTTTTTCCTATCAAAGATTCAAAACATATCTTTTGCCACGTGTTAGGTATAGAGAATTCTTTTCAGGACCAACTTTTAAATCCAGTGTTCCCATGGAACTACATTGATATCAGATGTTAGGATGTAGGAGGTTTACTATTGATGGAAGTGTAGCTCTTACGAGGATCCAAGGTCATCCCAAGGCTCAGTTATAAAATCAGAAGATACTAGGGTTTTTTTTGCAAAAAAAAAAAAAAAAGAGAGAGAGAAAGAGAGAGACACTGGGTTGTGAAAGCCACCATCCACTAGACTCTTAGCCTCATTGTCAAGTTTTGCTTCTTTATGACTAAAAGAATCTAACTCATGGAAAAAAATTGATAATATCTCCATTTTTAAAAATATGACATGAATTCATAGAAGTTAAGTCCTCTCCCAAGATCTCACAGTCAAGAGGTGGTAGAATGAAGATTTGAGGACTGGTTGGCCTGTTGCCAAAGTCTAGTACACTTTATGCTGTTTCCCAAGGAACATTCTTTTCAGGAACATTCTAAGCACCTGTTTCTATGTCCTCTGTGGTTCTTTCTCCCAGCTCACAGATGTCAGGGTGCAAAGGGAGAAGGTGCTAAATGTAGATGTTGTCAACCAGCAAGTGAATGAGCTAGAATTTTTGGAGGATTAAGGTCTTATTGGACACCCAAATCACACCTTACGGCATAGGTCTTGTCTCTTAATATGGCTTCCAGAAAGGTTAAGTATTAGAAGCTCTAGTGATGGTGTGAATCATAGGAAGTGCTCAGCTAAAATCCTGAATGAGTCATTCTTTCCAGAAACATTGGCATTTATTTCTTTAAAACTCTTGATAGAATTTTATAGATGGGGTAGAATAAAAGTTACTTAAAATTTACTACTACTACTACTAAATACTAAAATAAATGTACTACTATTAATAATGAATAACTTTCATTTTTTGACAAGTTGTTATCAACATGTTGAATTATTTGCTTATCAAAACATCCAATAGCATGCCACATGCCTTCTGGGTATAAAATAAATGCTCAATACAATAAATGCAGTGGTACATAATCTTTTAACTGTCTGATCTCACTCATACAATCTGTGTTGTGTTCTGGGTCTACAACAAACCTGGTTCTTAGAGAGCTAGCAGGTTTTAGAACCTGGATAGATGTGGGATACATAGAACCTAGCCTGCAGTTGGATGTGGGGGTGAAGGGTGGTGGCATCAAAGTCAATTCTGAAGGTTTAACCCTGGTGACTAAGGGGCTGGTGGTGCCATTGCCAGAAAGACAAAATTTGGAAAGTCTGAGAAAAGATGGTGAATTCAATACAGGACACATTTGCCTTGAGGTTTCTTAAGGTGACGTCCTGATGGATGTGTTCAGGAGTCAGTTGAAGACCCATCACGACTCTGAGATGGGCTTGCCTGGAAGGCTAGCATTGCCCATCATCGGCCTCCAGGGTTCAAGGCAGGAGTAGGGAGATTCCCAAAGGAGAAAAGGTGGACCAGAAAGAGAAGAGAGTCTAGAACAGTGTCTAGGACTCATCTGGGGTAAGGGAGAGGGAAGAATAGCAGAAAAGGAATTGTGGAAAGAGTAGAAATAATAACAGACAAGAAATCACCACAGTGTGAGGAAACAGGGCCAAGGGATGGGATGATTTTTTTTTTTTCAAAGGATGAGATGGCTTAGACTACTGGTCCTAGAGGAGCAAATAAGTTGCTCAATCACGCTAACTGTGCACCAGAGTGTCCCAATGAGGGCAGAAAGAAGGGAGGAAAGTGCGAAGAATCCCAGAGTTACGCACAGTCTGCCACATAGCTTATCTGTGGAAGAGACCGTCACAGTGGCTACAACTCTTTGGTGTGCTGTGGAGGAGAAATGGTTTGTAACCCACTATTCCAAAGGAAGTGGGGCAACAGGAAGAGGAGAAGGAATTTCTGAGTGAACAAGAAAGGCATTTTAAGACAAGAGACACGGCTGGTGGAGTGAGACCTAGAGCAGAGGAGAGCTGAGAAGGAAGAGGGATGGATGAAGAGCTGACATAGCAGGTTCCAGAAGAAGCAGGAGGCTTTGAGCGGGGAGCACATTACTTGCCACATCTCTGGAAAGGGGTGGAACAAATACAATATTCCTCAGAAAGAAGGCACATAAAGGCACAGCTAGACGACATCTCAGGAAGACGTGAACACGTGCTTTCCTCAGTACTCACTACTCTTCTCAAGAATACAAGGGGGGAGAGTCTTCCCAGAGGAGAGGCTATCTGGGAACAGCTCCTAAAGATAGAGCTCGATAAGGTGTTTTGGATGGATAAATTGAGCATTGAATGCATAGGTTAGAATAAAATAATTTGTGTCAAAGTGGTTTTGTGATTCCAACAATACTTAGAGTACTGAGAATAAAAGCAGAGAAAGTAAGTTGCAGGGTGTGTACAAGGGAAGTGACTTGCAGCAGTCATTCTGTGTGACCCAGTAGTGACAGCAAGGAACTTGGAACTCAGCTGAAAGGCAGAGGGTATTTCATATGAATATGAGGTTGAAAGCCCTTTATTTCCCCATGGCCCCATCACAGTGCCTTTCCATAGGGTTGATGTGGGTGGGGAGTTACAGGCTATTGGTATGATGGAACCTAGAGGGTCAGGCCCATTATGGTGGGAAGATTATCAAGGGTGCTTGCCTGAGAGGAGAGGTGGCCAGAGGCATCTGGGGTCACCATGAAGGTGGCAAGTGCAGTCAGTAGGGGTGAGGATGGTAGACTGAAAGGAGTAGAAGCTGTGAATGGAGGAACATTCCAGAATGTGAGATCGTGGAGATGGCACCATTTTCACTTGGAAAGCCAGCAGCCTATGGCAAGCATTAAAACATTTCAAGGCCAACGGTGCTTTACCCCCATCCTGATTCCCTACTCCAAAGGTCGCATTTCTCTAAACACATTTAGAGAAATGTGTTTGGTGGTCTCTCTGAGATACAAATGTTTTAACCAGACTCTTTACACTGATAATTTATGTCTTTGGATGCTGCCCACTGTTTCACTTTCTAGCCCCTTCCACGTTAACTTTAACGCTCTTTTCATCAAACCCTGCCTAGCCATGTGTCACAGATGGGCACCATTTTTTTCTCAACCATGAAAGTTGAAAGGTCAAGATTCAACATCATTCACAAAGATTTCGGTGTGTGGAGGAGGTTCCAAAATCAAGGCCAGGAATTACTAATTCCACAAGATGGGGGAGGAGGTGATGTGGGAGAAACAACAAATGAGCCGTGATCCCTAGAGTGTCCTCTGAATATTCCCGTCTACCTGGAATCTCAGAATATAACCTATTTGGAAAGAAGGTCTTTGTGGACATGATTAGTTTGAGTCATACTGGATTAAGGTGGGCTCTGAATCTAATGACTGTGTCTTTGTAAGAGGAGAAGACACACAGAGACACAGGGAGAGTGTCATGGGAAGACAGGGACAGAGCTTGGGGTGCTGGAGCTACAATCCACAGGGTATCAAGGATTGCCAGGAGCCACCAAAAGCAAGGAGAGATTCTTCTCTAGAGCCTCAAATGGGGGCATGGCCCTGCCAACACTTTGGTTGTGGACTTCTAGCCTCTAGAACTGACACATTTCTACTGTTTTTAAACCATCCCGTTTGCAAGAATTTGTTACAGCAACCCTAGGAAACCGATACAGTCTTCTGACCCTGATGACTAAGCTTTTCACTGCCCAGCTGGAAGCCTCTCCCAGGAGGCCATGTTGCCCCTGGAGCCTGTCCCAGTGTAACCGGCATGATTTAAAGTCTCGGGAAGCCTTGTGCGAGAAGGCTCCAAGCCCAGGTCAATGTATTTCTTTGGCCCGCCCTTGTCATTACAGCGTTCTGACTTACATCTTTGCTCCTTTGAACTTCAATCAATGGCCGCCCCAGGGACGTTGTTTTGACTACGCCGACGTTTTCTAAACTCCCCACTGTGTGGTTTCCAGGTCAGACAGTCAGGCTTTGTTCTGTGACTCAGCGCCCAAAGAGTCAATTAAATCTCGCTCGGCTGCCTTGCGGCCTGGCTTCAGTGACTTAGCGAGAACAGGGGCATTTACAGGGTTCCTGAGGAAAGCCAGACGTGATGGGAGGGAGGACCCAGTGCTGACAAAGGGCAGGGGACACAGATTAGGGAGCTCAGGATGGCGGTGACAAATGAAGGCCCCAGGAGCTCAGCTTCCTGTCTTAGAAAGGAGCGGTGGATTCCTGACACACTATCTCTGGACCTGAAAGCGAAAGTGAGGGGCTTTGGAAATCATTCCGGAGAGGCTGCTATCAAGGGGCGAAGAGACACGTGTTAGCACCACCGTCCTTCCACCGCAGGAATGGCCAAGAATCACAGTGTGAGTCTGGCCGTGATCTTTATGGTGGGAGGCTTCCTTTGAAGTCTGACATCACTGAAAAAAATTCTCATAAAACCGAAAAGGAAAAAAAGAGTATCTCATCCTGGCTAGGAGCGCACCACAGAATATGGAAATGAGAAACAGTTATAGCTCACTGCAGAAACAGGAATGGGCAGAACTGGAAGTCCCTCGGGAAGAGAAAGGTAAAAGAAAAAGCAAGATTTCTCGAAGGGCCTGGAAAGTGCTACCTTGGTGGCAGGCTTGTTCCCAGGGGAAAAGTCCTGTGTGAGGCCAGGAGACCCAGAGAGAGGACCAGCTCCCACCCTGAGTGCCCAGGGGGGCTCTGGGCAAGTCACAGAGACTCTAGGGGACTCTAGGAATCTAGGCGATTCTCGCTGGCCCTCCCTTCCCTTGCAGGATCATGTGGGGCTTGGAGGAGACACAGTGTGTGAAATCACTCTGTACATTTCTAAGCAGCCTATAAATAAATATAGACAAGTAAGGACTGGTACCCACTGAAGCTGGTCCCAGGATGCCTTAGATATCCCGTTTACCTGCACCATGTCAGGCACCAGCTAAGTGGGGGGCTAAGAATCTCCCCAGAAGCCCAGCTCCAGGGCCCCGGTGGGTTGGGACTATTCCTTCTTCCCTTGAATCAGCAACACAGCCAGGAGGAAACAGGCAAGCACAGAGACAGAGACTGGTGTTGCTCCCTTTCCAGAGCATCAGGAGGGCAGTCCCATGCCACACTGCCATCCCAGGGGCTGCTCCTTTGGGCCATGAGCCCAGAGGGGCCAGCACGGCACAGACCCCAGGGGAGGGGATGGCCCAGGCCCAGCCACCCAGTGTGCAGCCCTGGCCCATGCTTTTCTCTGAGCCACCGCATCACCGAGTGCTTGCAAAAATTGTGCCGTGAGCACTCACATTTCTTCCTTCGGCTGCAAGGGCCTGTCTTTTCATTTCCATCCACCAAAATTTCCTAGATGCTCTCTCTGCCATGAAGCCTGATCTGAGCCTGCCTTAGCGCATTTCATGTCCTCTGGGACACCACACCTTGTTAGTTCTGCTCACGGCTTGCATCAGTCCTCCCCTGCCCATCCGCTAACTGTAAAGCTGGGTAATGATTCCACTTAGGATGATTATTATTTGGGTGGCCTTCTTTCATGCCCTAATCTTGTCCCAGATGCAACACTCTGCATGTGATGGTTAACAGTTGGTGGATTCTGATACAGTAGCTACTAGTGGGCAGGGCAGCTTTGAGCCCCTAGGAAGGAGACCAGGGGTGTCTACCCAGGCTCTGGGGGCTCCCAGATCCTCAAAAGGGAGTGGTACCAACAGGTGTGGGTTCAAGTAAGTGGGGAGATCCAGAACACCTGTCTTTGGTGCCCTAAACTCTCCTTATACTGACCTTCGTACTCTACCTTATTTGGGGCAGCCTCTTACTTAGTTCATACTAAAGTGTAAATGACTAATGGTTTATCCTTCCCTGGGAGAGCTGCCTTCTCAGAGCTTACCTAAACTTGGAGATTAAGGCCTGAAGCTGTGCCAGAAGGTCAGTGAGAGAGGAAGCTACTTGTCTTGGATGAAGGCTTTCCCAGGCTTCTGAAATCACCCCCTTGGGCAGCTGCGTGGCACGATGTACCCCTCGATTAATGTACTTTCTCCCTGTCCAGACTGTTTAGGCCACTCTGAGGATGATCCCTTTCTCTCTGGACTCTCCTTTCCCAGCCTAACTTGAAAGACATTAAATCCACCCCAAGTGGCTTCAGGGAAAAGTATGGAAGTCTGTGGGCTGCAGGCCTGTCTGTTCTGGCATAATTTAAATGTCTTTGTGCTGTAAAAATGGAAATGTCTAATAAGAGTTCTTACTGTGCTCTTCGGCTTGCTATAGACAGTGGTGCAAAGGAAACCTCAGGGTTCAGGTTGTAACAAGGCTGCATTCCCTTCTGCAGATCCCTGGAGACTCCCTGGGTCCCACCTACCACATCTGCAGAATGGGGAGAGGTGAATCACTGGATATGTTTTCAGGCACCAGATGACTCCTCATCTGTCAGGGGTCCTGCTCAGAGGGTGGCAGCAGGAGGAAATGAAATGACATGCACAGAACACCCAGCTCAGCAGTGGAAACGCGGTAAATGAGCTATTTTTTTTACAATTGCTAGGGTCATTTCCTGTTCTCAGCTACGACTCTAGGATTCATTTTTCTGTTTAAGGACTAACTTGGAATTCTGACATTCTATCCCTTTGTTGTTTTACTGAACGGCTCCCTTCCTGAGAGGTTGCTCTTTATGTCACTTTCATTTGGAGAAGCCCTGACCATCTGGAAGGACCAGATGGGAAAATGCATCAGGGTGAAGCATCAATGGATCGGTTGGGGGGGGGTTCCTTTTTTCAACCAGAAACTCCACCATGAGTTTGCTTGTGATGTGAGTAAGATCTGGACTCTACTAACCAGGGAAGGCTTGCAGACAAGGTGATTCCTTCTGGAAGCTTCCTCAGGTAAGAGCAGGAATCTTTGGAATGGTAGAGCTGCATGTGTCATAGTGGGTCACCTGTGTGTCTAGGCCTCTTATCAAAGAGAATGAAGAGTGGGTGTTTGCTACACTGGGGAAAAATCAGCAAACATGATAGGTCTAGTCATCAGGGTAGATCGGAAGGATGGGTTTTATTTTATTTTATTTTATTTTTTAAAGATTTTGTTTATTTATTTGAGAGAGAGAGAATGAGAGATAGCACGAGAGGGAAGAGGGTCAGAGGCAGAAGCAGACTCCCTGCTGAGCAGGGAGCCCGATGCGGGACTCGATCCTGGAACTCCAGGATCATGACCTGAGCCGAAGGCAGTCGCTTAACCAACTGAGCCACCCGGGTGCCCCGGAAGGATGGGTTTTAGTCAAAAGCTTTCAAGATGGTGAGCTTCAGTTTCCTGTGGCTATTGTATCATGAACCAGGATGCCTCCATTAATGGATACAACACTGAGAGACAGAATGGACTTTTGTTGACATTTTCCATAGAAATGGACAAAAGCTCAGCAACTTTGTCATAGGACATACCAGCACTGTGCTTCATTTAGGATGAGAACGCCTTGGATAACTCATATATCTGCTCTGCGGGCTGGACAACAGTAAGGCATTCTGACCAGCCAGGAGTTTAGGGAGCTGAAGAGACCCCAGAGAGCTCCCTTGTCCCTTCTATCATGTGAGGTTTCAATGAGAAGACAGTCAGCTATGAACCAGGAAGAAGATTCTCACCAGACACTGACTCTGTCAGCACTGTGATCTTGGACTTCCCAGCTTTCAGAACGGTGAGAAATAAATTTCTGGTGTTCATACACTACCCAGTCTATGGTATTTCAGTGACAGAAGGCCAAATGGACTAAGACGGTTGAGAGCTAGAAGTGAGCTTGCATGCTTCCCCGGGCTGCAGGGCTAGGAAAGCCCAGCGGCTTGGCCCCTGTGGCTCCGCCTCACCGGCTTCTCCTCTTATATCCTAGCTGCATCCTTGCCTTGGGTTTTAGCCATCCCGACCGACTGGGCCTTTTCTGAATCTGTCAGGTCCCTTCCTGCCCCCAGGTCTTTGAACTCGTCCTTACCTCCACCCAAAACTCCTTTTCCTCTCTCTTCCCTTGGCTAAATTCTCCTAGATAAAGAGTAGTCCCATTTGCCATCACCTCCTTGGACGGACTGGGTGCCCCAGCCTATGCTTCCTGGTTGGTGTTGGGGGTCAATTCCCTTGCCTGTCACCCCCCGCCCCCCGCCGTGGGATCCTTGAGGACAGGGCTATCCAATGACCTCTGTGAAGCATCTACGGGCACTTACTTTATCTTACCGGACTACATAGTTCTCACTGTGTGCCAGTCGCCATTCTGAGCGCATCACTGATATCAGTGCCTTTAGCCCAATCAGGCAGGGCTACTACTGTTCCTAGTTTGCAGGCGAGGAAGTAGATGCACCAAGAGTTATGTGACTTGCCTGAAGTCACACAGTTGATAAGTGGTGAATGGGGGAGTAGCTCCTGTGTCCTTAGGGACCAAACTGGGTTGAGTTGCGTCTCCCAAAATTCATGCCCACGCAGAAACTCAGAGCATGACCTTCTAGATATGATGGGGTCATACTAGCTCTAAATCCAGTGACTGGTGTCCTTCCGAGAAGAGAAAACATGGACACACACAGGGAAGAAAGATGACCACGGTCAAGGGCAGAGAGATTGCGGTGATGCAGCCCAAAGCTAGAGAATACCGTCGCTGGCAAGCAGCAGAAGCACGAAGGTGGCACGCAAGGAGTTCCCCTCAAGCCTTCAGAGGTGGGGTGGCCCTGCTTGATTTCAGGTCTCTGGCATCTGGCACCGTGAGAGAAAAAAAGATTTCTGTTGTTTTCGGCCACCCGGTTTGTGGTCATTTGTGACGGAAGCCATAGGAAAGTAATAAAGTACCTGGCAGATAGCAGAGGGGGTGGTTTTCTCTGGGGCCGGTGGCGTCCCCACCCTTTCCCAGGATGGGAATTTCTGCCTGGTGATGGGCGTGGTGGGAGATTCCCAGGCTGCTCACACACGGCACGGGTCTGCCCATCCCTTCGTGATCTGGCATTTTGGGAGGGACAGGGTGCTGGGCACAAGACAGGAACCTGGGGCACATGCCAGGCAGCTGGACTTCGGGAAGGGCGAGAGCAACCACCCAGTGCCTCGATTTTCCTTTTTAACAAATGGGGCCTCTACGGGAACATGAGCTAGGCATGGTTTGAGGGCTCGGGGCTGCAACAGGCAAAGAGGTTGGCCACAGTCTGTCTCCAGGAAATGAGCATTCTGGGGGACAAGGCCATGAATCAGCCCCTGAACAAACAAGTGATGATTTCCGAGAGCAGTCAGGGATAGGAAGAAAAATCTCCTTCTCAAAAGATACAGAGGTTTCACGAAAGGAAACATTATAGATAAAAACTCAAAGCCAAATTGAACGGTGATGTCCTTGGTCCTTGTCAAAGATCACACATCCACACAAATGTTTGCGTGGTGGTCCAGGCAGGGCTCAGACTCAGACGGTCATTGGCTGGCTGGGCTGGGCTTTAGAGGACAGCTTACCTTGGGGCCAGACTGGCCGTCCAAGTCTACTTCCTCCATCTCGGGGCCAGCGATGAAAAGGGTGACTGGACAGGCAGTCTGCCCAGACCTCAGGAAGAGCAAAGACTCCCCTGGGCCAGTTGCCCAGGCTGAGCTGGCAGCGAGGCGGGTAGTTCCCCGAAAGGGCCACTCTCCTGCCCTGCCAGGAAGAGAGTCTGGGGGACCTTTGGGGAGCACCCGAGTGAGGTGCTGGGCACCAGACATGCCTCTGGTCTGGCAGATGCCATCACCCCTGAATTCTCAGGTGGCTTCTCTGAGAAAGAGGCGTGGAGCCAATTTCAGGAGCTTTCAAAACTTCCAGGAAGAACAAAGGGCAAACTTTCTTTCTTTCTTTTTTCTTTTTTTTTTAAGTTTTTATTTATTTATTTGATAGAAATAGAGCACAAGCAGGGGGAGCAGCAGAAGCAGAGGGAAAAGCAGATTCCCTGCTGAGCAGGGAGCTTGATGTGGGACTCGATCCCAGGACCCTGAGATCAGGACCTGAGCCAAAGGCAGACACTCAACCGACTGAGCCATCCAGGCGCCCCAAGGCAAACTTTCCAGACCTAATACGTAAGCCTTAGAGATACCCCCCCATAAACATGGATACTCTTTTTTTAAAAAGATCTTATTTATTTATTTGAGAGAGAGAGAGAATGAGAGATAGAGAGCACGAGAGGGAAGAGGGTCAGAGGGAGAAGCAGACTCCCTGCTGAGCAGGGAGCCCGATGCGGGACTCGATCTCGGGACTCCAGGATCATGACCTGAGCCGAAGGCGGTCGCTTAACCAACTGAGCCACCCAGGCGCCCAACATGGATACTCTTAAATGCAAGCAAAATGACTCAGCTGTAGAACAAGGTAATATGAAAATACAAGGTACCATTAATCATGGGATAATAGAAATCACTATTTTAAAATAGAACAATATTGGAGAGAGGAGCAATTCTGGAATCAAACAGAACTGTGCTTCAGTAACTTTCCACCTGAGACGTCTTTTCTGGTCAAACATCCCCACTCTGATCCATGGCAGGGCTGGAGGAGAAGACCCGTCTATTTGCTTGTCTTTAGACACACACGGTGACTGAGGAATTGGGGTGGGGCAGGGGGGAGAGACCTGGAATAAATGCAGTGCTCTAACTTTTTCCACACCCATCACTGAGATTCCCCACTTCCTAATTTCCCTAAAAGCTGATTTGTCTCATATCCTTTGAAGTCAGGCGCATGGCTCTGGCAGAAGTCCTGTTCCCTCTGAGATGCCTGGTGGGATATGCCGAACGCTCTCAAGAGCTCCCTGAGCACCAGGAGAAAATTCCTCTCCCTTTAGTGAGTGGGGAAGGACAAAGAAGGCTGAGATGGTAGGAATCTCGAAATCTTGCATTTCGACCATCATCAAGATCACTGGTTCCAGAGCAACGGGAAAAACAAAGTTTCTTTACCACTGCCACTCAGATTCTTTCTCTCTTTCTTTCTTCTTTCCTTCTTTCTTTCTTTCTTTCTTTCTTTCTTTCTTTCTTTCTTTCTTTCTTTCTTTCTTTCTTTCTTTCTTTCTTTCTTTCTTTCTTTCTTTCTTTCTTTCTTTCTTTCTTCTTTCTTTCTTTTTCTTTCTTTCTTTCTTTCTTTCTTTCTTTCTTTCTTTCTTTCTTTCTTTCTTTCTTTCTCTTTCCTTTCCTTTTCCTTCCTTTCCTTTCTCTTTCTTTCTTTCTTTCTTTCTTCTTTCATCTCTCTCTTTCTCTTTCTCTTTCTTCTTTAAGGCTGAGATGGTAGGAAACATGGAAACTTGTCATTTTGGCAATTATCAGATCACTGACTGGTTCCAGAGCAATGGGAAAAACAAAATTTCTTCACCATTGCCATTCAGATCTTTCTTTCTTTCTTTCTTTCTTTCTTTCTTTCTTTCTTTCTTTCTTTCTTTCTTTCTTTCTTTCTTTCTTTCTTTTTCTTTCTTTCTTTTCTTCCTCTCTTCCTTTCTTCCTCCTTTCCTTTCCTTTCTCTCTCTTTCTTTCTTTCTCTCTCTCTCTTTCTTCTTTAAGGCTGAGATCGTAGGAAACGTGGGAACTTGTCATTTCGACCATCATCAGATCACTGACTGGTTCCAAAGCAACGGGAAAAACAAAATTTCTTCACCATTACCATTCAGATCTTTCCTTCTTTCTCTTTCTTTCTTTCTTTTTCTTCCTTCCTTCCTTCCTTTCCTTCCTTCTTTCTTTCTTTCACATTTTATTTATTTATTTGAGAGAGAGAGAGATCGCAAGCAGGGGGAGGGGTAGAGGGAGAAGCAGGCTCCCTGATGCAGGGCTTGATCCCAGGACCCTGAGATCATGACCTGAGCAGAAGGCAGACGTTTAACTGACTGAGCCACCCAGGCTTCCCCATTCAGATTTTTATTTAAAAAAATTAGAAATAATCTTT